ATCTTATAAAATATTTTCATAAATCATATTGTTAGGTTTTAAAGATGTTGACAATCTTTTAACAAAACTATTGTTGAAAAAGAGTTTTTAAAAGTCAAAGTGTCAAGTGGTAATTTGACCACACTGTATAGGTAAGCTAGAAGTCCTAGGGTTCGAGTATAGAATAAGGAGAAGAGAGTTGTTACAATTTCGCTAACCTATCGCCCAACGACGCTCGAGCGGTAAAAACAGAAGTTGCATTGCCCGCCTGTCGCCTGGACCTCGATCGAGCGATACACCGTCTCTCGCCTGTCGCTAAGCTGTCGTTCGAGAGGCAGTGTATCCCGAGAAAACCTAATTCACATTTTTCAAGGTTTTTATTCGGCCCATATTACCAAAAACATGTACACTATATATATCCATGCCTCCATTTGAAAAATGTGAGTTGAACATTGAGAGAGATAAGAGATTTCTTCCTACATATCATTCTAATAGTTCAACCTTCTTTTTTATTTCTTCATAGCATTGAAAAAATGAATTTCACATAAACCAATAAAACACATACTTCCATATTATCTATCAGAGTTCTGAGGATCAAGGAAGGTGATCGGAGTTCTGGTTGTTGGAGAATGATGAGTTCTCATTAATCCACAAGAGATAGACAAATTCAGAAGGTCGGGAGCGGTGCATGAACACTTAATCCAAGAGAGCTTTGGTAATTACAATCAGGAGGTCAGAAAGTACTAAAGTTAGTCGAATCTGATAGTATTATAAATTGATTCGTTTATAGTGGATTCTTACTGGCTTGGGTCCGAAGTTTTTACCCTGTTACGGGTTCTCCGTCAACAATTTTCAAATGTTATTTATTTTTCAGTAATTTATTAACTGTAGTAATTCAATATATGATATTTATGCATGTGAATTCATCTGAATTGATTAATAATTGTGACTTGTTGTATTTATTAATTGGTAAATTTAAATTCTGCATAAACACATATTTGAAAGCCCAAGATTGGCTAACCAAGAGGTGTGTGAATTGGTTTTTAAATTTTTTTCGTTTACTATTCATAATTTTAATAATAATGAACGTACAAACGATAATGAATAATCTAAACACAAGCAGGCACGTAAATGAAGCAATGTAAATTTACACAAGGTAGAAGTGGTAAGTAAAAAGGGATAGAGAGAGCAAACAATATGTTATGAAGGTTCGATCCAATGCAATGATCTACGTCCTCCATTACCGAGCTCTCCGACACGAGTAATGCCTTTTTCACTATATTGATTGACTTATGGAGCAATCCAATCATTTACAACATTTTCGGTGACTTACAAATAAGGAGCACCAATCTTTTTACAATGTTGAGTTTTACGAGACCTCAACACGATCCAAATTATTGAGCTTTACGGGACCTCAATATGACCTTCGATTCAAAAGGGTTTTACAAGTGAAAAATCTTTACTTCTTATCTAATGATATATTCAAAGAATGAGTACAAGAAGAAAAGAAGGCAAACACTTCTTACTTGATTTTTCGTTTGATACTATTTCTTGAAATACTTTCTCACGTATTATT